TTGATGGTTTTTGTCAGGTTAAAAGAGTGTTATACCGTCGAAAGGTTGTGTTTTGAATACTGACTTCCTCTTTTTGCGACGCCATTTTTGGGAATTTCCCTTGCAGCCTCGTTTTCACGCTTTCATTTTCTATTTCCAGTCCATTACGTCGTGGTTAGATAAACGTTCAGGGAGGGGAGGGACGATATGTAAAACTGTTATTTTCTTAAGAATTTCTTTTACTAATTTTCGCGGGCATATTACGCGAAATTGGAACAAGCATATTTCGTTTACAATAATTTTCCGTTTTTGCCAAATAATTACTATATTAATATAACGGAATCAGTTCTATTGTGCTTAGTTATTCATCCAAAAATGAAATTTGGAAAGCAAGCAATAATTTGGCAATGTGCAAAGAAAATAAAAAAATTAAAAATAAAAACGAGAGAAATTTTAGTGCTTATATAAAGTAMGAGGTCTACAGCTACCATCATGCTTTGCTGCACGAAAAGGCGTCGGTGCACGTTGCCTAATGAAATACCACAGGGAGCCCAAGCAATACTTTTGAACCTATACTAGTTAAAAATAAAATTTTACTTTTTACTTAAAAAAATAGTCACCACAATACATTATAAATGGGCTTTAAAAAATTTCCCCTGCCTGTATATATAGTGAGCTTGCCATTGTCTGCTTCACTGTCCGTGAGCTTTGTTACCTCGGATGTTGGACATTCTAGTCGCTGTTTTTTCTTTGCTATTCCCGTAAGAGCGATCTTTTCGGGGTCTTTAGGCTGATCAGCTTCTATTAAAGCCTCTAGAAGTTCTTATACTAGTTTACCCCTAGTTTCCCATATTAGTTACAGGTACCATAGGAACGCAGAATCATTAACACTTGATAAGTATGTTGCACAATTTAGCAATGCATATATTCCGAGTGGGCTATCTAATTTAATTGCAATGCCCGGCAAAAACCGCTGAGCTAGAGCAAAGAATTTTATTTCTAGACTCCTTCTGGACAATCAGGAGCCCATTTCCGTTTACTATTCTGACGATTTACAACAATCAGAAGTAACATGTTATGTACTTTTGACAACAATACNATTGGAACAAGCATATTTCGTTTACAATAATTTTCCGTTTTTGCCAAATAATTACTATATTAATATAACGGAATCAGTTCTATTGTGCTTAGTTATTCATCCAAAAATGAAATTTGGAAACAAGCAATAATTTGGCAATGTGCAAAGAAAATAAAATTAAAAAAAAAAATAAATAAAAACGGGAGATATTTAGTGCTTATATAGAGTACGAGGGCTACAGCTACCATCATGCTTTGCTGCACGAATGGCGTCGCTGCACATTGCCTATTGAAATTTGCGAAATCCCATAATTTCTGTCGGTGCAGGGTAGCGCGTACGAAATTGACTATATCTCTATCCCAGTACTGCAGGGTCGTGTGCAGGGTTTTCTTGAGGTGGAGTTGTTATTTGTAGCTATGTTTTTCGGTTTTAAGACTGTGAAGAAATTGATCGACTGAAATTGAAAATTGTGAAACTGACCACTACTGTAATACTAAACCCTTTATTCTCAAAAGCGTAATTAGTTAAGTTTTGTGCAATTTCTTTAGACTAAAGCTATTTGCTTTTAATGAAATATACGGTTAACCTACTACTGTTAGTAGTCGACTGTATTCCAGTTGTTTAGTTTGCTAACTATTTTTAAGGAATGGTTCATGGTTAGCGTGCGTATATCCAGTTCTAGATGCACGCGGGAGGTTGCTAAGCACGAAAATATGCGTAAGAGCTGCACGACGCGAAAAAAGTCCAGTGCACGCGGGCTTAGCCTCGAATCTATGTGTAAATTGTTTTTTATTTTTAGGAATTCTACTTGGACTCGAATTTTCAGACTAGTCAATGACTAGAATAATTGCTAGATCATCTGATCTAATTGATAGTATCAATTACTATGAAATAGTCTTCAAAATCGTGCAAATAAGCTATAAAAGCGTTAATATACGTATCAGGGGCGGATTCAGAATATTTAGAAAGAGGAGGCCGGTTACTTAAAAATGGTTTTGTGTTGCATCGACCACCGAAGTCGGGAATATATAGGGGGGTCCGGGGCATGCTCCCCTGAAAAAAATTGAAATTTAAACCGTTAGAAATGCGATTTCCAGCACTGATTTTCAGTGATATTGACAAGGATCTTTTCAAGTTTTTTTTCAAGAAAAAGGGGGAGGGGCCCGCGGCCCCTTAGGCCCACCCCTAAATCCGCCCCTGCGTATAATGAATAAATAATAATGAAAATAATATTAATAATCTAATGTCGTTTCTGGTGTACTATATAACTGAGCAAGTTTTGATCCTCAGATTTCTAAGTAAGAAATTAAACAGGGACGTCAGAGACGGGGAAATAATCAAAGATAAAGATCCTGAAGAAAAAAAAGAATATAACTACTCTTCATTCGGAACTGAAATGTGTATTTCATCCTACATGTGCGCAAACGATTTTAGTTTTGGCCCTCTAAGTCAGAAAGAATTTCGACCATACAGGGACGTTCCTCTGGATTCTCAACCAAACACCTCCTAATAAGGGAACTTAAGAAGTGGTTCGTTACCATAGCAACTTGTTCACCTCGTCTGGTAAAATCAGGAAGCTCTCTGATGTTCATTTCGCAGACCAAAACACCAAAACTGAACACATCAAGCTTTAAAGAATAAAAATAAGCAAAAAATAAGAAATAATAGTTGCCATTTGACAGGGGCGGATCCAGAAATTTCTGAAGGGGGGCACCACACCCTTTAGCCTTTTGAAAGGGGGGCCCTTATGCAGAATATGGTGTCTTGTAAAGGGCAATTTTAAATATTTAATCACAATTTTTTCCAAAGGGGATAGGGGCACCGGCAGCCTGTTTGACTTACAGAATATTTATTTAATTTTGATGTACCTTGCAAATCATCTTCTAAAGGTCAAGCCCTGCAGTTGTTTCTTCAACCATACTGGTTTTCCATTTAACTTAATAAATAGCTTGATTTCGGGATCAATTAGCCAACTGCAGAGCTCCACATTAAATTACTCTATTACTAACACGTAGCCTGAATTCAGCCAATCATTTCCGCGGAAAATAGCTGTTTGCAAACAAGCTATGGGCACTCTACCTTAACGGTTTGTCTAGAAGGCGATAATGCTTCAGGTGCACAATAAACCATTGCACCAGGTCCAACTGTTGTACAATGTTGTAAGAAGTTTGCGCTGCCGTAATCTGAAACTTTAGCTCTCCACCTCTCACCATGTTTCCATAGCAGCACGTTTGCACTGCTGATGTCCCTATGGATTATGGGATCTGGTCGGTTGAGGTGCAAGTAGTTTAATGCCCTAGCTACGTCAAGTGAGATGGCTATCTGCTCATCAAGTTGTAATGCACGTTCTTCTAAAACAGCCCTCAGACTTGTATCTAACAATTCTGTGACAAAAAGTGGGCTGGCATCGTTGGTTGCACCAATAAATTGAAGAAGATAGGGATGTCGGCAACGAGCCGCAACGTTCATCTCACGTTCAAATCGATTCCTGTTATAGGGTGACAGAATAAGATCGTGAATTTGTTTTACAGCAACAATGGTTCCTCTGTATCTACCTTCCAAAACACTGCCCCAACCACCTCTTCCAAGCACTTTTTCCGTTACTTCAACTTCAATTCTATCCAGGATCCATGCATGCCTGTTTTCTTCTACACCACTAGTTCGCCGCAACTCTATCTCTCCACTTTGATTTCCCGACGAAGTTTCATCCCTCTCTACTTCAAGATTCCTTCGTGTGACTTCGTGTCTTTCTTGTTCCGCTTGGAGATCTCTTCGTGTGGATTCGTGTCTTTCTTGTTCTGCCTCGAGATTTCTTTGCGTTTGTTCATGTCTTTCTTGTTCCATTTGGAGATCTCTTAGTGCGGATTCGTGATCTCTTCGTGTGGATTCGTGTCTTTCTTGTTCTGCCTCGAGATTTCTTT